CTATATCTCAAATTTTAGTAAAAATAAAACAGTGACATATTTTGATTAATTTAAAATGAAACCAATTTTTATGAGAGACGATATAAGTGATAGCATGTTGACATTTAAATCACTTAGATACAATTATATTTCTTTTTCTAAAATGATTATACAGGTCATCTTGTTTTAAATTTCGAGTGATTAAAAAATGAAATGGTTTAGTGCTATCATGTAAACCCCATTGATGTACGATAGAGTAAGATATTGTTGTGGAATGCCAAGTTGGGTAGGTGATCTCATACACATTTTCCATTCAATATTAGTGGATACATAAATATTTTTGAGGGTGTATACATATATACATATTAAAAACTTATATTTTTTATGAGCAAGCATACATAAAATTTTAAGATAGACATAATCAATAAAATAGATAATTATTCGAAAAATTTAACTTTCAATTTTCATCATCAATAAAGAAGATCCGCCAATGCCATTCAAGATTACAACACTAATTTTGAAGGTAATAAAAAACCTAAAAGAAGGCAAAAGGTGAGGGCGTGCAGTGTTGTATCATCCTCTAGAACCCATGTATTGTGACTCCACCTCACTAATCCATCATCTCCAATTGACTTAATTAAAACTGGCTCACCTCTAAAGCAACACCAACGGTGTGTTTGTACCTATAAGTCTTCCCACACTGTTACCTTTCTTATTGCCTTTACCTAATGGGATAAACACAAAAACACTAGCATATTATTATCATGTTTTCATTGCTTTATCTTCACTAAGAAACCAGCTGGTACCAATAAAGACTCTCATGGTTTTTTTAATATATATATATTTTTTCAATTGGTACGATCATGAATTTTAACTCTTTTACTTGAATTTTTTTATTAGGATTATGGTTTTTAAATTAAACATGGGTTAACCTTTCTGATATCACATCTTTAGAATAATGAGGGTGCTTTCTCTAAAATACTTGCTTGTCAAATTGAAAAATCGAAACCAAAATTCAAGATTCAAGGTTTTATATTCATCGATAGATTCAAATACACTTTCGTATTTAATTTGTTATTCTTAATGATTTGACATGTAAGACCCATATTTAAATTTCATATTACACTTAATTTTGATTCTAACAAAAAGAACTAATGCTAATGTTTGTCAAGTAAAGGGATGGAAATCAAAATTAAACCTTTTAATTTCATAAAAGTACCCACCATTCTTCCTCGAGACAACGTGAGAGAGAACCTTTTCTTTTTTCCCCCATACATAACAATAATCATTCATCGTTATCCTTTAATTACATTTAAGGGTACTAACTTCAATGCATCTTTATTCTCTCAATGTCTTCTCTATGGTCACCTTTGGGTTTTATTAAAACAATATCCAAGACAATCCTTTTCTATTGTACATTTCTTTTATGTGGAAAAGTATGGATTAACTAAATTAAATATTTGGTCATCCTTTAACTTTATTTTTTTTTAATTTATTTAATCACTTAAAAAGTTTTTCTCTCTTTTTTTAACCTACAAAAGATGAAAAATAATTGGTCATAAAACAATAGGTGTTAATATAAATACAAGTATTACTTGTTAAAGATAGTTCAATTAAAAGTGACCAAAGTTGTTGGTGATGATTTTGACAAATCTTTAGAGTGTTTAAAGAATTTTAATAAGACTCAGTACAAGAAAAATCTAAAGATTCGATATGATAATATTGTCTTGATCTATAAAAGAGCCGTGAAGATGGAAAAAAATGTTACGAGAGAGTTATGAGAATCATGTTTCTTCTCTTTGAATTTTCCAAAAAAGTAGATGTAAATGTTGCGAGAATGAGACAAAGGAATCAAGGGGAGATGTTTACAGTGTGGGACTGTTGAGGATTGGTTGGTTTCAACAATGGAAGAGCATTTGATTCGTTACTTGGACTTGGAAAAAGAGTGTGGCCATTTGAAAGGCTAGTGGCATAGATTTAAAGAAACAAAAAAGGATGGAGGATTAAACAATGACTTCATTCAAATGCACAACCCAAAACCTTCCACGTCAGTGGTGTCACCGCATGGATATTATAAAGTGAAGATTACATGCGAAACGGGAATGGAACCGAACGTGTTCCCAAAGTGGTCCAACTGTGTTGTGCGCATGGCCGGTTTTAGGGGTCCACCACCACACCTTTGGCCTTGGGTAGTTGGATGTGGCTCCCCCTCATTATGAATTGCTTCATCACAAACCATTCAAGTTCGAGATCCAAATTCCATCTCATTACAAGTTAAATGATCATTTAAAGCGGGTCTAATCAAAGAGTTGACACTAACACATGATTGTCAGGGGATATGATATTGACAAGGAATCAGAATAATAAAGCAGTGTAAGTATTCGATTGTAGATGGTGTTACTTTTTTTTTTCATATTCGTGAATAAGGTTCAAATTCATTCCCATACTCAACTCCTCTCTCCATGTCTATATGGAGTAGGGTCTTTTATATTGTGTAAAAATAATTTAATTTTACAATCATGCTGTTCCCATAGCATCAGCCCCAGCTGCATTTTCTCCATGCCCGCATAAAGGATAAGTTCTAAATTCGTCCCTCTTTTACTTGAGAAGAGGGTTCAGAGTACGAGGAGAGGCTTCGGGAAATGCATTGATATATGTTATCAAATTCAACATCAACTCGCTCACGTGCGGCGTCTTAATATACGGCTAAAATAAGATATTATCGATTTTGTTATTATTTTAAATAACAAAACCGGTAAAAAATAATCGAAAACATTATTATTTTAACCGATTTTAATTACCTATATAGGTAAACACCGTAAAAAAATCCGGTCAAAATGAAGCAATGCTTCAGAAATTAGCCGCTTTATAGGGTCTGTCCCATTAGAATCAGTACAAAACACCTTGTTTGTAACCATATTTACAGTCTGCCGAGTAACAATCTCTTTCCCAACACCATCATCCATGGAGAAAAATGACAAGGAGAGAGTGATAAAGCAGATGAAGGACCAAAAGTGTTGGACCCTAGCCATATTATTCGATTTCATACCAACAGCCATATAGTTGAACTTAAAGGAGAAGAAGAAGGATTAAACTAAATCTGAAGCAAACAGAGAAAGGATGAATAGTGAAACTCAAAGAAATGTATTATCATAGAGAAAGATAGATTTTACAAATGAAGCATGGTTGGCCCAAAACATGTGACCCTCTTAAATAGAGAGTGGTCCGCACAGAAGGCCCAAAACGGCCAAGTAACTGAAAGAAACAACAAACTTAACAACTTTCAGTTACAGTTTACTTGCTACAACAGAGAAATACTAGTACTCTCGAGAGATTTTTCCTTCTTACATTGTGCTCTATCCTGATAATCAATTCCTGAAAAATGCATTGAATTAAAACCTACATGAAGGAACAACGTAATCACTGAAAAGGTGTCATGCTCCAGATTAAATGGTGGAAACAGAAAGTAGCTAAATTGTTGAGATGCAGCTCAGCACCAAGGAGATAACCTTGCACACCAGAATTGGCAAATCGCTTTGCCGTCCGGCACAATGTAATCACCCTCAATGCTGTTGTTTGATCCTACATAATAGTTATCAATACTCTTCAACAAGAGAACATAATGGACATTCAGTTTCCCGGGAACAATCCTGGCTCCAGTACCATAAACTCCTTCAACTGTCTTCACGTAACAACAACGAACTCCAACTGTCTAGGTAACAGACATGAAACCTGGCCGTTGAATGTTATCGTCTTTTTTAACTCGATGACTTACTCCACTCAAATTAACTCAACTAAACTCATATATCGTGATTTAAATCGAAACTTAAAAATCAAGTAACCTCTACCTTACAACTAAGTCAAGATCTCGTTGACCTTATTGTTGAGCATATGAATCCATGATTGGAAATGGGAGAGGATTAAGGGAAATAATGAGAATAAAGTGTACAAACATGGGAACATTGAATTGGAGAACAAAATATCATGTTTTCTCTTAATGAAGTCGCCATCAACTTTAAAGCTTAAACAATAATGGAACAATCGTGTTTTATCTGGAATTGTTTACCGGCCTTGGCTCTTTAATAGCTTCGATCTGTTCAACGTGTTCTACAAATGGGTAGGATACAATATCACTTAGCCTCCCATAATTTGAAGTATTTGCGTTTCACATTTTTGCTCGGCATATATAAATATTGTTCAATATATATATATATTTAATACATACTAATTCAGATAACATAATTTAGTTAAACCGACTAGCTTGTGTTTTGCTTACATTGTTTATATTGACCGTCATGGCATAATGGAGTTGAATGCATAAAGTTGCTTTAGATCTTATCATCTTCACTGGTGGGTGAATCTTTCTACTGCTTTGAGAACTACTGAGATGTGACTTTACAATTTACAATGACTTAGGTCAAAATTAACCTTCCCAATTATATATTAGAGTGGAGATAACTATCTTTATTTTTCTTCACCAAATGTTACAAAAGAATGAGATGCATTTCAGGGAAAATAACTGAAGCTCTTACAAGTTCTTTGAAACAAGTAATAACCATCAACATTCTCTTGGTGACTACAATGAAGAGCTTCCAGATCTGCACAAGGGATTTAATCACACCACCCACCAACCCCCCCACCCAAAAAAAAAATCTAGGTATTGATAGTTGCTATGTTATCATAAACCCTGCAAAATCAAAGACTGCAACCTGAAAGAGAACATAATTCGAACAAACATCACGTCTCTTCCTTCTTTTTGGGTGCCTTGTCCTCATCCTGCTTCTGCCGTGGAGCATCAACATCACCAGAAATTATATAAACAAGTTTGATGATAACAAACACACAATGCAAGTATCAATTAGATATCTGTTACAAAAATTATATAGTAAGGCTACACAAAAGAGGTAACCCCCTAACACCAAAAACACCAAACCACGAACCAACAAGAAGTGCAAAATATCCCCCAATCTCTCCTATAAATCATTTTATCCTGGCAAGCACTTCCTTAACTGAAGGATCATTTGGAAGTTTGGATATACCACAGGAAGCTGCACAAGCAATTGTTTTACCATTAAATGATCTTTATTTTAAATCTGGTGTAGGGGGCGGAAAAGATAAACAAGAAATACAAGACATACCGACACAAGGATGTTGGATGCAAAAGACTGGTCTGCCAACAACTTACTCATATCTGGCTGACTAGATGAATCTTTTGTACTGTCTTGCACAGATAATTGAAGAGCTGAGAGAACTGGAAATACATAGAACTAAATTAACAAACACAGAAAAAGAAATTAATATGGACATATCCAGGGTCTAAACTTGCATCAACAAGTTTCCGAGATAAAGGACAACTAATTTTGAAAGATGATTTAACTCGTATTGTAATCTAAAAAAGGTATGAACTTTTTACGTCGTTCAAAAAATTTAAGTGAGCCAAGAACACTCTTTGGGTATCATTGACCATCAGGCTGCAACCAGCAAAATATGTATATAATTATATTTTCCTACACCTATGTAACTGGTTTTTAGTGTAAGGCAAGGAACGTTTGTTACAAATGTTGCTAATCCTTTAGCGGGCACTTGTAAAAAGGACTCGGTTGCACTTACCTAATGCTAGCTCTAGATCCTCAGCAGTTGCATCTGACATCTCATTATCCTGTAAATCTTGGCTAGAGGCAGGCTCATCCATCGACATAGCAAGAGCCTGCTATAGTAAAGTATCATCATCATCTTGTAACAAACTCAAGGTCAGTCATATCTCAACATGAGAGAATGTGTAAGGGTCAATCATATCTTCTTATGAAATGATTTTCCTACTTGAAGCAGCTATCCTATCAAACTAAGTAATAATGAGACAAACTAATACATTTCATAATGATATTTAATTCTATTAAAAATAGAATTAAATTATGTATTTGGAATGATGTTTTTTTCCTCAATATTTAAACTATAAATAGTGGACAATTTCATTCATTTGAGAATATCTCTAAGCAAATGCTTGCTTTGAAACACTCTTTGGCCTTAGTGTTGTTTTGAGTTGAGACAATAGTAATACACCCAAGTCTACTACACCTTTCAAGTGTACAGAATTTGGAAAGTCGTGCTAACCTCGGGAGGTCATTGTTTATTGTAGCGATTACATACATCAGGACGAATTTGCTTCTAAGGCAATGGTTAATATCACGACACATTTAATAGATTCTTTGCTTATATAATTTATTTTATATTTTTTCAGTCAGTGTTAACGTCTCTTTTGCGGTAGTATATTTTTCCAACAATTTAGAAATAAATTTATAAAATGTTGTTTATGAAAAAATATTAATACAATTTATGATTTCTTGAGTTGTTATTGTTCATTGATAATGTTTTGCAATGGGTTAATGTGAAGAAACTGAAAGCATATTTATTATTTTGGTGAAAGAAGTTATTTTATATTTTAATGCGTGATAATGCATATGAATGGAAATGGTTGGTATGAATTATTTTGATTCTTTGCATTGGTTTAAGGGCATTGAAAATTATAGCTATGTTATATAAAGCATAAACATGAATAATTATTATATCATTTATATATTATGTTATTGGCATAGAAACATTTTGAAATGCTTTATGAAGTTGAAGACATGTGAACGGTTTCTAAATTTATGAGATTAATAATTATTATTAATGATAATAATTTGTATTTAAGCTTTTAAGCTTCAGTTTTTCAATTGTGGAAAAGAAGTTTTTATACTTTATATATAATCCATGATTTAATACTAATTAGCATGAAAGGAAATAATAACCTTTAAAATTTCTGTAACAGTTATTTTTTATTATTTCTATTATCTTAGTATCAAATGCATATTGTCATGTGTTCTGAGAAATTAATCATGTGAATTGATACTTTATTTAACTTACAATTTCTCTTTTGTACGAATATAAAACGGTGAAACATGATATGAGTGACGATGTTATACAACAAATTTTCGAGAAATTTGAATCACGAACATGACAATTGTAATTTTGGAGAAATATGAAGCAAAAATGAGAATATTCTCTAAATCAGTTAGTTGTCTGTTGAATATAAGGGCACAAAAGATTAAAGATAAGGATTTATTATTATCAGTATTTTTTTTATGAAAATTTATTACTGTTAGTAAATTTCAAAGACTGATATTAATGAATTTATTATGATTCGAAAATCAGTAGACTCCGAGATCATCAGGATTTAGAGATGGTGATGCAAAGTGAGAAGATTGAAGTTACAATCATGGTGAGAGTAAACAAGTCTATTTGAGAATTATGATTCTACCTACGAGGTCAAATTATTTAGACTTATTGTCTGTTAATTCATGCTTTTTAAATACATGAATTAAAATAAATGAACCTTTAAGTTAATCTTTAATTCTTAGTGGAAATATTGTGAAATAAGATAAACCACTAGTTAAAACTAAGGTGGTGAAAAATTATTAAGACTAATGCTAAAGTAATAGTGAGACCAAAATGTGTATGTTTAACAAGATACTATTGTGAGTAAAGTATCATACACAATTTGTTGATTGGAAGGTGTTTGATAGTATGGAAGTGCATCTCTATAATTTATTCCATGAAAGACCAGGTATTTAAGCGTGCTTAGTGCATCACCTCTCTTTCTTAGAAACTTACTTGGTGCACTATTCATTATTATGCTCACCAGGGTTTAAAATAGCGGGACGAAAACACAATAGCGTCCACTATTTCGCGATAGCGCCGTCGTCCGAAACAGAAATCCGAGAAAATCACGGTGGGCAGTAGATTCACGCCAAAATCAGTCAATCGTGTCCTCAATCTAAAGGGTAACGGTGAATAGCACCGATAACGGGACGCTATTACCGTTATCTAGCGTTAATAACGGTGGCCGACGATCGAGAGGCTTGGAGCCTCCATGGTGAGCGGCGTTCATGAGATGGAGAGAGAGCGGCGTTCGTGAGATGGAGAGGGAGAGAAATAGAAGAGATGAAGTACAGAGACAAGGGTATTGTATTAGGTTATATTAATTTTTTTTGAATTAATTTAATTTAAGTCCTCCATCTTTAGATCATATTTGTATTTTTGTCATTGGGTTTGGACTATTATGAATTTTATTTTGGAGCATAGGGTTTGATCATGATAATTTACCTTATATTTTGCTGAAGTGTTTATTAAGAAGTTTTAGGATTAATCCTTCTTAGGTCCCTAACATTTATGCACCTTTTTATGAAATAGTCACCCCTTCCTATTTTTTTAAATTATTTTGAATATAATGCTCTAGTTTCATTAGTTTTATTTTAATCACTCATTTATATTTTTTATTTCAAAATTAGCTGTGATATTTTTATTTTATTTTATTTTGGTCACTGTTTTATTTATAATCTACTCACTGCTATTATTTTATTTTGATCTCTATGCTTTACTTTATTATATTTTAGTCATTTTAATTCTACATTTTAATATTCTGAACTATTTTATTTTAGGCCTTATATTCTGATATTTTAAAATAAATAAATACCCTACTTAGAAAAGCCTAAAAAATCAAATAATCTACATTGTTTACGTTTTTGTTTTGTTTTCTTTGTTAAACTATATTATATATATGTCAATTTCGCTTTGAAAACATTTTAAAAATCATTAAAATGATTCCTTATAATTATAATTATTTTTATTATGTTTTAAGATAAGTTGGGCAAAATTTTAAAAAAAAATTCACGTCCGCGACACCCGCAATGAACTCGATGACATCCGTTATGTCCGCAACTGCGATAAACATGACACGATCGAAAATGTGATCGCGAATACTATTTAAAACCCTGATGCTCACTATTCCAATTTATAAAATACTATGACAAGATAAGACCTTTTTAAACTTGGTGTAGAAGCTAAAAGAGTAGAGATTAAATTGGTAGAGTAGAATGCCAAATTTAGTTATATTAAATAAAATATGTGATGGTCTCTTCAAAGTTGATATATTGAATATTATGAATGAAAAAATGATAGACATTAATGCTACTAAAAGATGATTTGTAGTCATTGAGTAAACCCTTAAAAAGAAGAAATAAAAAAGTTGTCTATCTTGAGGAGTTGTGTTGAATTCTCTTTGTGAAAAATTTTGAGATAATTTTTCTGTTATTAGGAAAAGTTGAAAACTCCTAATAATTTTTTTAAAATATTCATAATTTCTTAAATACTTATTATGAAGAATTAGGAAAAATAAAAATTCCTTTTGAATGACTCATAGTTTAAAGCTCATTGGTTGAAGAATTCATGGTGGATACCCAACTTAGTTATCTAAGCTCAATGTGGTCAAACAAAGCCATGAAAAGACTCATAGTGTACATTTCTATTTCCTATCCCTATAACAAATAATATACATGCACAGGACGAGTTTGATTGCTCTTAATAAATTTATATCCAAGACTTTGAGTGGTCTTAGGGGAAAGACTTGATGAATTTACCTTTTTCGTTGAATATTTATTCTTAATACATTCATAACTCAGTGTTGAGTGGGTAGTCCTAATCGCGAAGGACTAGATGAACTTACCGCCAGAGAGGACTAGTTTTCTTAAAAATTCATAATGAATTCAAACCCAAGAGTTTGAGTGTTCCTAGTGACAATGACACATTGGATTCACCAATTAATGATGTTGAATATTTATTCATGATGATTTATTATCTCGAAGTTTGGATGGTTCATTTAATATGAACTTGAAGAAATTCACCTTACATATTGTGAAGATGAGTTGTTGTAAAAGCTCTTAATTATTTCATGGCCGGTTTCAGATGGTTTATATTGAGATAAACCTGATGAAATAACCTATGTAAGTGAGAAAGACTAGCCACCTTCTATGAAAAAATGTTAGTTTGTTTTTCTACTACACTTACTAGAATCCTGAGAAAAACGGGCTATATATATACACATTCATATATATACTTTATAGACACATCGAAAACTTTGGTGGATGAAGGTGTTAGTTGTATGTTATGAGTTCACCCTAATCTTTAAAAATTCAAGATTCGTTCACTTATCTAAGAGAAGAATTATTCATCATCACTATGTACTGGTTCAAAATATGTTTACTAGTACTTAAGCAACTAATCTCGCTGTTGCTCTTCTCATGTTTTAACTTCAATGCTCTCATTTTTACTGAAGTATTATTTCACATTAGTGGGAGAATGTGGTTAATGCTCAAAATGTAACCATTTTATAATGAAATTTAATTCTACTAAAAATAGAATTAAATTATGCATTAGAAATGATGTTTTTGTCCTCATTGTTTAGCCTATAAATAGTAGTCAATTTCATTCATTTGAGAATATCCCTAAGTATAGACATGAGACCCGAACCCAACGGTTCTGACCCAACTAGTCGTTGGGTCGATTCTTTTAAAAATAATTCGTGTTTGGGTCGAGTTTAGGGTGAAAAATATCTGACATGACCCAATCTATATTTAGGGATAATTACATTTAGGGATAATTACAATAATACCCCTCTATTTATTATTTTTTAATTAAATTCCTATTTTATTGTATAAAATTAATATTTTTTATTATTTCGGGTCGGATCTAGTTGGCCGAAACCAAGCCCAAACTCGACCCATGCCTATCCCTATCCCTAAGAAAATGTTTGCTTTGAAACACTCTTTGGTAGTTTTCCTTGAGTGTTGTTTTGAATTGAGAGAAGAGTAGTACCATCCAAGTCCACTCCATCTTTCGGGTGTACGAAATTTGTAGAGTCGTACTAACCTCGGGAGACGACACGGTTAATCGATTCTATGTTTATATAATTTATTTTATATTTTTTCAGCCAGTATTAATGCCTCGTTTTGCAACATACTATTTTCCAACACTCTAAACATGCTTTCTTTCTTGTTCGATGGTCCTTTTAAGCATTATCGCTTATGTTAATGTATGTATGAGGCTCATTTTGTAGCAGGCTTATGTAATTAGCATAATATTTTAGTTTTTGTTATATGATCCTCTATAAAAATATAAAGCTTCTTTTACTGAGATTAATTGTTTCTCTATGCTTGAACTGAGCTTTGCAATTTTAACTGTGAATTGGTTCTTCTTCATGGTATCATTATTTGATGAACAAAACGTTTGAGTAATTATCTATGATATAGTTCATATGCTTTTCATAACTTACTAACTATACGTTTTCCCTCAATTGTTTTAGACATATCCCCTTACGTGCTTTGTTGAGGCAAAATCAGTTATCAATATACATATACCTTGCAATTTTGAAATACTATGATTTGGCAATTTCTATCAAAGGAAAATCGTGATATGCAAGAGTATACTACAATTCAAAATATAATCAAGATTTGAAATATTAGATTGATTAAAAATGACCATCTTAATTATTACAGAAGCATTATATTACTCGATAAGTACATGAATATCATTCTTTGGAACGCCGGGATTGGTGGTCATTGGGCAGTCTTCGAGGAACTCTTCCGGGTAGCAACACCATCATCAAGGATAGTGATAAAATCAGAGTTCCACCAAGCATATATTTTTAGAATTCGGCAATAATCAATTGTTCCATTTATTGGTTGTTTCTTTCTTGTTCATACTTTACATGAAAAATAGAAAATGGTGAAAGACTAGTATGAATATCCTCCAAGGAGCTTTGTTTACATAATTCGACCATTTCTGGACTAGATGAAAGTTCCATTTACAAGGATTTCGTGCTGGAAAGACTGTCAGGTTTTTGACCCTTTGGTTGAAAATTAGATGGCTTGACACCGGTGTACCAATCAATTCGATGCCGAGAAGATGAGTTGTTACCTATCATGCTGCAGTAAATATACTATAATGGCTGGGCAATAAAAGGCTACATCAGCATCATCCCGGACATTTTGTGCATGATGTGAAGAGACGGGTGCAGAAACAGACTTGTGATGGGGATGACCCTTTCAAGCACAGAAAGCACACTGAAACATAACATTAGGAAGAAAAAAAATTGAAATTAGAGGTATGTGGGGAAAAGGTGTTTTACACATATCGTACGATGATCCATTTGAGAGATGGTTATTTCATACCCTGATAGAAAACAAGCCATCAGTTATAAATAATTGATTCTAAACCCTGCTGCTCCTCTTGATCTGTCGAATGAAGATGACGAGAGTTCAGTGACAATAAGATATGTCGGGCTAGGATTCTTATCTTTGCAATAAAGGATAGAACATAGAAAAAATGCGTCTTCATGACATGTTACAAAGATAATGACTGTCAATTCGAGTAATTTTTTCACCACCAAATGCCATCATTTTGCAATTAGGCCAAGTAAACATCGACAGGGAAATGACCTCACTGCTATTTATATCTCTCAACTGCTAGACTAAGAAAAGACTTCCTTATATCCAAGATTACGAGGCAAAGTTGGACTTTCTAAAATTCATATTGCTAAGATAGAATGAATCGCCTGAACCAAACCCCAGAACATGCACAAAAGTGAACTGTAGGCTGTCAAAGGGTGGGTTTATGGCTTTATGCAAGGTAGAGATTCAACAAACGTTTCGTAAAAATTCGTAAAAAGCATAAGCCACGCGATGCTTTTATCAGAATGAAGGAATTCTCTTCATGCTTTAATCAAGATTTGTGCAAAAGCCATTACCAGTAATGATTAGAACTATTCCTTCCCCTAGCAGATTTGGGGGGGGGGGGAAACCATTCCCCTAACCTTAATTATTAACTTCCATGTGTACAATTAATTAAAAAAAGAATGCTCTTGGGGTTAGTATGCCCATGAAATCAGAGACAACAAGTGACATCAGTATAGAAGTTACCAATCAGGCAATCACCTGATTTCACTATTGTTACATATTGTGGTACAAGGAAAAAGTCAGTTCTTTTCGGTCCACTAAGAGCAACTATAGTAGTCCCTTTAATTTCTTATAGTGCATCCATAATTTCAAATGTTTCATGGTGACAATAGCTTAAATCTGAGACTCTATAAACCATTCCGCTTATAACAAAAATAGAAGCATCATTGTTACAGTAACTCAACGTGTGAATATTCAATGAGAAGGATTAAAGTTGCATTCGTGCACACAAACCTACAAAAAAGGCCTTTGTTCACTAACCTCAGAATATGCAAACTGGGTTGTCATATCGAGTTTGCATACAGGGCAGAATGTTCCCCACTTAGTCAGCCATGACTCTACACAACTTGAATGAAAATCTGCATGAAAATTTCATGTTGATTAACTGATGAAGATGATATCTACACAATAATGCTAGAGTAAGAAAACAGGAACTCAAATGTAGATGATAGGAGAAACAAGCTTTGAATATGGTGATCATATATCTGCAAACAACAATATCATCTCTCTTTTCCAACAAATGCTGATGACTCAATAACTATGGAATCAAATTACTATCTGACTAAATTGATTGAGAAAGGGCAAGAATAAATTAATAACAAGAGCTTTATACAGCCAATGGTCCATTAAACAAATTCATAAAGCTAAATCTTTCCTATATCTTGAATTTGTGAAATTTTTATAATTCACAATAAAGGAATTAAGCATATACTAAAAGTCATATATCCTAAACTTTCAACATTTTAAACACTTGAACTTCCCAGTCTTGTGAAAATCAAGGTAACACGTAACGGGCAAAGTGACCTTGGCATGTTGGAGGCTAAAACAATCTTTAAGTATCCACAAGTAAACATGAACTGCAAATGTATAACAGGCTAGATAAGATCCATAGGAGCAAAACCAACCATGTTGACAAGGAAGCACTTTAAGAAGTTCCCCATCATTATAATCCTCGAGGCAAATTGCACAAGTTTCTGCAAAAGTACTGGATCGGTCGGAACTGAACACAACACGTGGAAGAGCTTCAACCGTTTTAGTATCCACACTTTTTACTAAATTTCTTCTTCGCCAATTCGACAAGCTTCGGGGTGCAATAAAGGCTATCACCAAAAAAGCTGCTATAACAACAAGTGATAGGAAACAAATAGCAAAGATCTTCCACGCTTTCCCATTCAACTGTGGATAAATACAGCATTCCCCTTTTTCACCTCTGGCATGATCTTTCAAAAATTCACCAGCAGATTTAGAAATAAAAACAGCTAGCAAGTTGATTCCTTTAGGGTTCACCATCACTTCAAACAACAAAATACCTCAATTAATCTAATATTATCAAATAATTTTCTATAGCTCAATGAAATAGGTTAATTCAATTGAATTACTTCTAATTTATCTAAATGTAAAAAAACAAGGAAATAAATCATAAAGAAATTTAACTTACTGTAGACTAAATTGCTACTATATTTATCATCGTAAACAATTGCGGCAGAAAATCCCCCATTTTGAGCGTTTCGGATTTTCTCCTCGAAAGAACAATTGCCTCTAATTATCAAAGCAAACCTTACAGGATCACTTTTGTTGGATCCGAATTCGTTTCGGAGCGGACTGCAAGCATCCAAGGGATCCGCCACTTCAAGAGCACCGCAAACGGCAGTGTTATTCCCAACAGCTAAACAACATAAAAAAGAAAAGCAGTTCACTTTTTTAAAAAAAGAAGTTTTAGTAGGGCATAAAAACAGTTTAAGCTTGAAAGAGTTCATTTGTTAAGTTTTCCTGTACCTTCTTAGTAAACAAACAGGAGAAGGGTGAAGAAAAGTTACCGAATCTGGCAGGAAGGTCCGGCAAGGAAATGGAGAACGGCTTAAAAACAACGGTAGCAGACGCTAATTCGCTGAAGAAAGCAATAAATACTAAGAAAATTCCAAGCAAAGTTTCCCGCATTGCTATACCTTTATTTATTTCTCTGTCTCCTGAACTTGTTCAGGCTTTATCTCGAATTTTTCAGGAACAGTGGAGTAAAAAAAAACTTGTAGAAGGCGCTAGCTTTCGGGGGGAAACCTCCACTTTTATAAAGGCATAATATCAAAATAAAGGCCTAAACTATATTATTTTTTTAAATATATACTTGAACTATTTTTTGACTTATTTAGATTCTAACGTTACAAACGTTATCCATTTAAATACGTTGGCTGTAACAATCGTTAAATTAAAACCGTTATCCATTCATTTTATGAAATGTGAGAATTATTATAATTTATTTTTCAGTTTTCTACTAAATTCAAATATATAAAAATAAAATGACTAAAATATTAAAATTAATATTTTAATATTAACTTTAAAACTATTTTTTAACTTAGAAAGTAAATCTCTAAAAGTTACCACGATACTCCTTCCCTTCTTTGCCTTTATCCTCTCTTATTAAACATGTCTCAAAATTTCCAAAAAAGTTATAGAAATCGTTTATAATGTTAACTCTTGAATGAATAAAAAATAATTTAGGATTCATTTAATAAAAGTATTATAGTTTAGTCGCTTATTTTGGTATTAAACCTTTTATAAATAAGATAAGACGGTGCGTTTCTGTGGAGTTGGTGGCTTGGTGCCAAGGGTTTATACTTTTACGTTTTCTTAGGCTTTTTCACGAACGTTGTTAGCGGTGATTTGTCGATGGAGAAATCGCCATTGCCTGAAGCGTTCCTTAGCTTTCTTGAAGAAAATGGAATCGACCCTTCAATTTACACAGCCTCTGATTCAACCCCTCGTTACCTAAGGTAAGTTTAAAAGGTTATTTGAACAGTAAAATTGAAGCACATCTGCACATGCCTTTGTTTTGGCTGGTTTTATTGTGGTTTTACTCTGTTGTCTCTTTGGGTTGTTTTGAAAGTCATTTATTTGCTTGTTTCTCAAAAAAAAAAAAAAACAAATGGGAAAGGTTGAAACCAGGAAGTGAAGGTGAACTTGAAGAAATTGAAGCTGAAATAAATTGTAAGCTTGAGAAAGTGAATTGGTTACCTGATTTTTATTCTCTTCCACCTGATGTTCTGATTAACAATTCAAAGTCATACCTGGATGGAAAGGTGAGGAATCTAGCGCTTACACCAATTCCTTCTGATATTTTAGCGTAACTTTCCTTGATTGATGGAACATTGACATCTTTTTCTTTTATTCAGGCAGTTTTGATACCATCTGAAATTGTCTTTTGTTTTTTATTTCTTCTTTCTTTACATGTATAAAGTGATTCTGGTTGCTTTATTTATTCCCACTTATCCTAGGGGAACTGTTTTAGAACGTGGTTGTAGCTTATAATTTTAAGTTTCACTCTTTAATGTTTGTTCTGTGTTCCTTTTAGGCATTTTTTTCAGGATTATCAAGCATTTACTCTTTCCTACCTTTCAATATTCATTTTGTATTTTTGGTGTTTCAGATCTATGGAATCGATGCTGCTTCTGGAGCTGCTGTCTCAGTTTTGAAAATATCTCCAGGGGATCATGTTCTTGATCTCTGTGCTGCTCCCGGTAGCTGATCTTTTCTTCGTGTTATATTTATAGTCAGCCAGTCAGGAATATTAGCTCATATTTGCCTCTAGTGTAAAAGGAATGATGGGGTTGGTTTATATTTGTCACCATGTTTGTAGTACTTGGCTGGTTGGTTTGAAGTTTGAACATCACTGAAAAATGTGTGTATTCTTACCGTCCTGTGATTGACAAATATTAAGAAGCTGGGCATTTTATTTCAGGATAGATTTGGTATGAAAGAATAATTTCTAGGATCGAAATCTTAAGTTATTTTGAAGATGCAGCTTTGTAATAAAGTGTTTTGCCTAATTTATTTCACACGTATGTCTTTCAGGTGCTAAACTTTGCATGATGTGTGATCTTCTTGGTGATTCGGGTTCCGTAACCGGTGTTGATGTTGCAAGACATCGTTTAGCAGCTTGTAGAACAATGCTGCAAAAATATTCCTTGGGTGATCGGTGCCGGTTATTTGTTGCTGATGGGACAACATTTTCTCTTGCTCCTGTGAGGGTTGAGTCCGTTTCTAGATCATGTAATAGATCTGTTTTATTTATTTACTTTTTTTATGTATAGTTGAAGCTTTAAAGGTGATTGTGCTAAATTTTTTTTCAAGAGCTCTACATGCATGTCTGCTTTGACATGTTCCTCTGTCTAGTTTTAAACAGGTGAATCTGCATTCGGGGGAAAGGATGAAAGATTTAGGGAGTGGACTTCTAGGAGACCATGGAAAGAAAGGAAAAGAGCAGCTAAAGCAAGGGAAGCCAAGTCTTTACAATTGGTTTCATCGAGTGAAAACCCTGAACTTATCTTTTATGGACGGCATTCAGGAGTAATTGGACTCGGTAAAAATGAACTATACATAACCATGACTGATCTTGAAGTTTCATACTCCGGTTATGACAAGGTGAAATTGCATTTAGTTTAAATCATCTTGGAATTAACTTTTTGGTTTTTTGCTTTCTCTTGCAAACGCAAACTACTAAGTACTTGTTACTTAATTCAGGTGCTTGTGGATGCAGAATGCACTCACGATGGATCGGTTAAACACATCCAGAAGTTTGAACATTGGGGATGGAAAACTCTTCAACGCCGGGTGTTGGATGCAGAAAGAACAGATAGCTTAACTGTACTTCAGGCAATGCTATTTTTCTATCATGATTTTTATTTCCTTTTTTTTTTATTTGGTGTGAGGAAGAGATTTTGTATCTGTTCAATTTAGGCTCCTCAATTTGTATTCTACAAAAATGCTTACGCTCTTGGGAATTGTCTGCTTCATTTTTGTTTCTTCCACTAGTTCATTTACCATTTGTTATTCTTTGAAGTTTCTCTTTTTTTCGATCTATTTTCTTTTTCTTTTCCTAACATCAAATATGTTGGTTTTCCTGCAGTTAAAACTTCTAAGGAATGGTTTTAGATTGCTGAAAGTTGGGGGATTGCTTGTTTACAGCACTTGCAGGTGTGTTACTTGGCAGCTCTTACAGCGTGTAAACATATAAGTGCACACACCAACATAAAAGAAGCACAATAATGTTCTGATTACCACTTTTACCTTTTTCATCAATTAGTTTGACGGTAGCTCAGAATGAAGACATAGTAGAGCAGTTCCTAAAGGAAAATGCTTCCGCAGGTAGTTTAATCTCTCCTATGAGACAAAATGGTGTCTTGAAACTTCATTATTGATGTTTGTTTAAACACATCCTTCTTGTCATCCTTTTCCTCCATTCTTATTTGATGAGAGACATTGCCTTCGGGTTGTGCAGAACTGCAGGAAATAGAGGAAGCGGAAGAGTGGCCCTGTAAGAGTGGGAGGATACCAAAGACCTTGCGATTTGATCCCTTGACATCACAAACCAGTGGACTTTTTGTTGCCAAGTTCTCAAAACTAGCCACTTAATCAACGTTGGTTCTTGGTCACCTTTGCTTTATACATAATGGAATGCAGAGAATTGTCTCTTCATTGTATCTCTGCTGCTGCCGGTACCGGACCCTTCATAAAAAACGGATTGGTTTGTGGTGGGAGACATCATTCATTCACAGATCACATCTTGATCATTACAAAATTTTGTAGTTTTCGTAGTTGGTTATAATTTGGTACAGAAACTTATTTTGAAGTGAGCAAATGCTACTTTTCCTAGCAAGTACTATGTCATCAATGACGTGACGTGGCTCTACTCAGTATCAACAATCCATGTATTCAAATTCAAAACCTTTTTAGGAACACTTCAAACTTGGCCTCAGCATTTCTGGATTAAACAAATGAAAGCGACCCTTCGTGTTTTCAAGGGTTTATTAGCTTTTGCCTCTTCATCCTATCATGTCCCAAACCCATGGATAAGATTATGACCATGGCCTGGGCTCTTGGGTGCGACTGCCACCATTTTTTTATCCTTACAAATTGAGAAAATGATTCGAGTTCCATATTTAATGTTGCTATTCTTGTCACTTTTAACTATGATTATATTTATGTGCGACTGCAGGTAACATTCATATTTGATTTGCCTTTGGCTTCTTGGCCTTTTGATGGTCAACAACATGGCGCCTGCTGCTTGATTGGAACGCCAGGCTGGAGCGGTGGACCAGTTTGCTTTCATACTTATCAACATTTCGGACTGATTTGACTTGCCAAATTTTTTACTAATCTTACCACACAACTTGACTCAATGGCTACCATAGAATAATTATCAGTCTAATTATGGTTAAGCCATGTACTATGCTGAAATTTAAAGTTTAATCCTTCTATATTTTATTCTGAAATTTAAAGTTTAGTGATTTATCTAATTAGTGTTGCACCAACACATCCAGCGTTGAAATCGATAATAAATTTATCACTAAAAATAGAGAGGGAAGAGATTAAATCTCAAATTTTACCATAGAGGGACTAAAACATAATTAGACCAATGGTATCTATCAAGCTGACAGCTTCGATTTTCCGCTCTTCCCATTAACTACTCTGATTCTGTGAACCCAATCATGGGATTTTAAAACCAATGTCTAAACAACCGCCGTATGCTTTACACTCCACATCATAAATTAAAGTCTAAACTAAAACTATAAATAGCAATGGTCAAATGCAAATGTTATTTTTCATAAAGCTCATACACATCAAGATTGCCATTATCTCTTTCCTTCTTTGTCATTCTTTTGCAATATGGGTCCTCTGTTTTCAACTTCAGGAGCCGAGAAATGGCTTGGGTTGGTGGTAGCTATTTGGGTTCAGGCAGTTTGTGGCAACAACTACACCTTTGCCAATTACTCCGCTGCATTGAAATCTCTTATGGATCTTACTCAGTTGCAGCTCAATAATCTCTCAGTCGCTAAAGATGTTGGCAAGGCTTTCGGACTTGTTTCCGGCTTTGCTTCCGATTGTTTGCCAACGTCGGTTTTACTTGTCATCGGATCACTCGAAGGCCTTATAGGATATGGAGCTCAATGGCTTGTTGTTAGCCAGAGAATCCGTCCTCTTCCATACTGGCAGGTAATTAAGCTTCTTGTTATACAGTGTGCTTATATTAACGTACATATCTGCCTGCAAAGCTTTAGCTGAATTCGGGTTTTATGATCGACTGCAGATGTGTATATTCCTTTGTCTGGGTGGCAACAGCACAACATGGATGAATACAGCCGTTCTAGTTACCTGCATGCGGAATTTTCCGAAAAATCGAGGCCCCGTCTCCGGGATCCTTAAAGGCTACCTTGGACTCAGCACTGCAATCTTTACAGATATCTGCACAGCTCTCTTCTCTTCAGACCCTTCGACGTTTCTCTTCATTCTTGCGGTCGCTCCTGCCGTTGTTTGCCTCACTGCTGCCTTCTTCCTCCATGAAGCCCCTCCGGCTTCAAAGGCAAGTGAATTCCAACAAGAAACGCAATATTTCAACATCTTCAATGTCATGGCTATTACATTAGCTGTCTATCTTTTGGCCTTTGATATGACCGGAAGTCATGGTCAGCTTCTATCATTGGTATTTGCAGTAGTACTTGTTATCCTATTAGCTACTCCGTTGGGAGTCCCATTGTATTCTATTCTGTCCAAACCAAGGTCTGATTCTGATATCGAGCAACCAATGAAAGCTCCATTGCTAGCGAACCAATCAAACCAGTCAAAGACGACGACGACCATAACAACTGGTGTTGAGCTGCAGTATCTCGAACGAAAACGGCCAACGATCGGAGAGGACCATACGATCGTCGAGATGATACAAACAATTGATTTCTGGGTATTGTTTGTCTCGTTTCTTTGCGGTGTTGGAACAGGACTGTGCGTGATGAACAACATGGGACAAATGGGGACAGCTCTCGGCTACTCTGATGTATCCATTTTCATATCTCTTACAAGCATCTGGGGTTTCTTTGGACGCATTGCTTCAGGTTTATTATCGGAATACTTCATATGGTAATCAAATTTCTTTTCACTCTCCTTCCTACCTTTTCTTCTGAAAAAAATCAAACCATTCAATCTCTCAACAAAATAACTTGATTTTTTGCAGGAAATTTGGGACGCCAAGGCCTCTATGGAATGCAGCTTCTCAGGTTATATTGACAATGGGATATATGATCATGGCCTTTGCCTTGCCAGGCTCACTATACATCGGCTCGATGCTGGTTGGAATATGCTATGGGGTTCGGTTGACAATAACAGTGCCGGTTGCTTCAGAGTTATTTGGGCTAAAATATTATGGTATTTTATACAACATCCTTATCCTCAATCTTCCTCTGGGATCTTTTCTTTTCTCAGGGCTGCTAGCTGGGTATTTATATGACGCCGAAGCCACTGCCATTTCCGGTGGAGGTAACACCTGTGTTGGGGCTCATTGTTATTGCCTTGTGTTTGTGATTATGGCTGTAACATGCGTTCTTGGATTGGGGCTGGATGTTCTGTTGGGTATCAGAACGAGAAATATTTATGTCAGGATCCATGAAAGCAAACGATCCATTGCTTCATCTGCACCAGATTCTTCACCAAAATGCTGATAGAAAAAAATTCAAAATATTTGTTTATAACATGTGTCTGAAATATAATTCAATATGAGATTGAAGATAATTTTTAAATATAAGAAAAGTTCAACACAAAGCTCCTGTCGAAGAGTCTCAAACCATCTGATAACAAACAGCTTAGTTAAAACTTCAGCAATCTGAGGTGCAGAGGGTACATCATTAACCTGCGATTCTTGAGACATGACTCTTTCATGTACAAAGTGTAAGTCTAAATCAACATGTTTCGATTTATACAGAATTTATAACCATCGTACTGCACTTATAATTAGATTTTTATTTTTAATTAGGGCTTTAAAATTAGTCTAATAATCTAAATTAAGTCCTAGGTGTAATTAGATTTTTATTTTTATCATCCTTTTGACGTTCTTAGTTGTTTGCTCAACATATTTTTTGATATATGATATAATACAAAATATCATAGTACTGGAGGTGGTATCTTCTTCCGAGAAAATAAGTGACCGAAAATGCCTTATAATATACGATTTTAACCATTTTTTTTGGATTTGCGAAAATAACCAACAAATTCGCAACCTGAACTCCAGTTTCGTAAAACAGTTTTCAAATTCGCAAAGCGATTTTCGTTTTCGCAATGCGAATTTCGCAACGCTAATTACCAAAATAGGTAAACACAACTATTCGAAAACGATATTCGCGTTGCAATTTTGGAAAACGCGTTGTGTGTTTACCTATATCGGCAATTAGTGTTGCGAAAACGATATTCGCGTTGCAATTTTGGAGAATCGCGTTGCGAATTTGAAAACCGCGTTGTGTGTTTACCTACATCGGTAATTAGCGTTGCGAAAACGAAATTCGCGTTGCGATTTTGGAGAATCGCGTTGCGAATTTGAACTGAGTTGCGTGTTTACCTATATCGGTAATTAGCGTTGCGAAAACAAAATTCGCATTGTAAATTTGAAAACCGCATTGCGAATTTAAAAATTGAGTTGCGTGTTTACCTATATCGGTAATTAGCGTTGCGAATTTGAAAATCACGTTGCGAATTTGAAAACCGCGTTGCGATTTTGGAGAATCGCGTTACGAATTTGAAAAATGAGTTGCGCGTTTTCCTATATCGGTAATTAGAGTTGTGAAAACGAAATTCGCATTGCTAATTTGAAAACCGCGTTGTGATTTTGGAGAATCGCGTTGCGAATTTGAAAACTGTGTTGCGAAACTGGTGTTCGTATTGCGAATTTGTTGGTTATTTTCGCAAATCCAAAAAAATTGATTAAAATCGTATATTATAAGGTATTTTCGGTCACTGAAGTTATTTTCTCAATCGAGTTATACACATGATGAAAAGTCAAACTCAAGTTTTGGATCACAAAACATAGGATGTAAGGGTGAGTATAACTCGATTTGACTCGAAATGATTTTGAATTGTAATTTTATAAACTCGACTCGATTCGAAAAAATTTTAAATTTAAATCAAGCAAAGTGACAACCCGTTTTACTACATGGATCCACTAGAATCCAAAATGACCATATAAAAAGGAGCAAAACTCGAGCAAAAACAGAGAACAGCAATATGAAAAAGACAATAAATCCAACCGTCGGAAAACGAAACAATTAAACTAGCATTGTCTTTCAAATCAAGCTGATCATCCAGAGATGACTAACTCCCAATTATTATTGACGATTAAGGCAATGTACTCACTCATAATAGTTGTCTGTCAAGCAGGATTCTATAGTAAATCTCAAAATGTATTTGGTACAGAAGATGAATACTAAAATGAATGCTTGAGGTTGTATTTTAAAAAAAAATCACCTTGACACATTAAGGACATCAATTAATAATGTTATCAATTTACATTTACTAGTGGTAAAAGTAGAGGATTAAATTATGTTATATTAATGTAGAAAGATTTAATGTTAGATTTAAATATAATAGAGGGACTAAAACCAGAATTAGACCTACTATTAATTAGAAAAACAAAAAAATAGGATTATGTATTCCTACCATTTCACCATCAAAAAGGGGGAAAATGTAATGCTACAATTTCGAAGCCAACAAATCTGTCGCCACAAGTCAGAAAGTTTAATGGAAACTAACAGTAACAGTGCAAGTTCAAACCCATCAGCTTCTTCATTGAGATGGAAGATCCTTCGACAGGCTGTTCTTTCCCGCGCCAAAAATCCAGGCACCCTTTTTCAACCCACTGATCTCTATTTTTTAAAATTGCAGCGTTTAGCTTTGAGTACTGATCTTAATAATTGTTTAGAAGGCGAGTCTCAATTGGGATTGAAGCTCATTTCCAGAAAAGCAGCAAAAGGATTCAACTTGATACCGTGCCTGCTGCTCCATCATGATCACGAGTCTAGAGATGCCCGATTCTGCTACACTTTGCCCATTCACGGTTGTCCCAAGCTTGTTTTAACTTTAGTTTTCATATACTCCTTTTCTCCCTTTTTCTTCTCGCCATTTCTTCGAACACTTGGTGGAAGGTAAATGAATTTAACACTCTTCCTTTTGTTAATGAATTATCATTGCTGAAACAGTGGATTGTTGTTTTGGAATGATTTTGGTAGCTCAGAAACCAATCTTTTAAACTCTATAAGCTAAAAATTGTTTTCCCCCCTTCTTGATTTGCTTAGTACTTAAACTCAAGCTTCAAAGGAAGTGTTCTAACATTGAACGTGTTCGTTGTATTTGGAACTTGATACAGTCAGAGAATGGATGATAATGCCTACCTCAGTGATTTTGAGATTTGTAATAGACACAACATTGACAATACTGGACTTGTCTGTAAGCTTTTTACCCTTTTTTCTTTTGGAATTCCTTATCAGTTTATCTTTAGTAGTTTAAAATTTTAAACTTTTCCCACTGATATTAGTTGTCAAGGTTATCTTTATTGAGGAAGATTTGTGTCTGGTTCATTGTTTGGTGGATTGATAATGCTAACTTATGGAAACGAAGATATATAACAAATTTCTCTGTATTTATCATCATGGCCATAATTTAATTTCTTGTGGTCACTCTGATTATTTATTATGTATCACATCAGTTGAAAATCTTAAGGAGATAAATGAATGATAGGATGGAAATGCGACACCTCGTTTTCCTCAGATTTCAATGTTTTTTAGAGATCAGCTTGAACATTGCTTTGTAAATGTCTAGGGTGCCAAGCTTTTTCTTTCTTTCCTTCTTATTTGTTTTGTTTCTCATTTTTATGTTCATATACAGGTCAGTGGCCATCTGAAGATGTCCTTGCCTATCATTGCTTATCTCATGCAGACATGTTCAGGTTAGTACGTAGGGCTTGTCTTCTTTTACAAAATCACTTGAGCTTGAGAACCAGGATGGTATCATGATTTGGCTGCTTATGTCGCTGAATTCTTCTTCTAATATTTCAGGTCTAAAAGAGTCATCGAGCTTGGATCAGGTTACGGCTTAGCTGGACTAGCCATTGCTGCAGCCACAGAGGCATTAGAAGTAGTGATTTCAGATGGAAATCCTCAAGTGGTTGATTTTATCCTTTTGACTTCACCATGTATGAAAAAAATGATCTTAGTTTAATGTGCAAAGTAGAAGGAAATGATTTTTACAACAAAGTTTTGGTTTTGCCTATATTTTGTTTTTATTTCACTCTTTAACAACCTTGTGTGAAATGTAGAAGTTTCTAGTATGGAGTGCTTAATGGCTTATGAGCATTGTTTATAGTGTAATCTCTTAGGAAATGAAAAATGTCTTTCTGATGTGTATTTGAAAGTTTCCCATTTAAAGTAGTTTGTCATCCTGAGACAATTAGATATAGACTGTATGAAAGTGAAGTGTGGCTGAGTGGACCTGATATGTTGTCAGGCATACATGCTTTGTTTCAGAAAATGACCGAGGGAAATGTGGTTAAGTGGACCTGATATGTGACCGTTTATTTGGGTTTGAACAGTGCTGCATCCTATTTGTGATTGTTGCATCCTTTACGCTTAAGAAATTGCTACTGAAATGAATCGGCAGTCTGCATAAAAATGGTAATGGTATTGATTAGAAACTTCACTGTTAGCGGCTAGTTGCTTGCTGAGCTAAGTTTTAAAGGCGGCCTTGAATGATTCTTGAGATTTTAAATCTGCTAGCCTATTGGAAAATTGATAACGGCCCCCTAAATTTATCTGTTTTGCTATTGTGTTACACAATTAGCATTTAACAATTTGTAATGATCGTTTTTTATTTCGACATTATTGATTTAAAATCTTTGGTTCTCTTATAATTTTGAATTTGTTTTTTCTTTTTGGATACAGGGAATATAAATGGTTCTTTTGTGTTATATTACTTGTTTTGGAAACAATTGTCCATGTAATTCCTCTTCTTTCATTCTTATTCACTTTTTTGTGTTTTGAGGTTCCTTAACGTAGAGATATTCTGCATAATATTAACACAAACTCCGAAGCATTTGACGGAACAAGAGTGAAGTCCATGCAACTGCACTGGAATCAGAAAGAAGTTTCAAATCTCTTTCACAGTTTTGACGTCGTTGTTGCAAGTGATTGGTAATGCCTGTTATCTTTCATATGTTATGAATAGCATATACAACATGCTCAATCTTTTTGTATTATGCATGAAAATGAAGAAAATCATCAAATATCGATCATTATATGCCTTACCATTGACTGTATTGTAAGTACTTTAGGATTAGCAAATTGTATCTTCTCCTTTCCTATATACAACTTCGAGTTCTGTTCACACTTGGTCCGGTCTCTGCATTGTCTGATCCATAGTTTCTTTCCTAGTCAAGAATTTTATAGTTGATCTGGCTGATCCATAGTGTACTTATCTTCTTTCTTATTCTTAGTTCAACTACTGATTTTCGAAAGCACCTTTTTCAAAGAGTTCCACAAAGATCTTGCTCGAATAACCGAGCTCCTGTTGAAAAAAGCAGGACACTCTGAAGCTATATTTTTCAGCCCAAAAAGAGGCAACTCACTAGATAAGTTTCTGGAGGAAATCGAGGAGAAGGCTTGCTTTCCAGCATAACAGAGATCTACGACGCTGAAAT